TTCCAATGCGCATGAATGCTTCCCATGCGGTTGTATGGGTGATTAATGTTTGTGAGTTTTGTACTTAATGTGCGTGAGTTTGTGTTTAAGGTGAGTGAGGTTTGTGCTTAATGTGCGTGAGTGTGTAGTGCTTAATGTGTGTGAGTTTTGTACTTAAGGTTCGTGAGTCTTGTGTATAAGGTGCGTGAGTTGTGTGCTTAATGTGCATGAGTGTGTACTTAATGTGAGTTGTTGTTGAAACTTTAAAGTGCATGAGTTTTGTGCTTAATGTGCATGAGTTTTGTGCTTAAGATTCATGAGTCTTGTGCTTAAGATGCGTGAGTTTTGTACTTAATGTGCGTGAGTGTGTACTTAATGTGAGTTGTTGTTAAAACTTAAAGTGCATGTGTTTTTGTGCTTAATGTGCGTGAGTTTTGTGTTTAAGGTGCGTGAGGGTTGTGCTTAAGATGTGTGAATTTTGTGCTTAAGGTGTGCGTGAGATTGTGTTTTGAATGTATTTTGTTTGTGTGTTTAATGTGCGTCTATTGTGTACTTAAAGTGTACCAGTGTAATGATTAATGTGAGTCCACCCGCACAACCGCACGGGAAGCACCACCCGCACCTGATCCCTTCCCTATATATATATATATATATATATATATATATATATATATATATATATATATATATATATATATATATATATATATATATATATATATATATATATATATTTATACATAGACGGAGCCAGAGGGGGGGCCAGGGGGGTCAGCTGCCCCCCCTCACCCCACCCCACCCCTCCCCTACCCTATATTGTATATAATATGTATATATAGTACATTATTCATATAACTATTATAAAACAGATTATGCAAACAAAAGTTGTGATAGACAAGGTGGTAGCTAACGTGTATGAGTTTCAGAATGGCTTGGGTTTGACTCTTTGCATTGACAATGTCATAGTTTTCTTCACTTTTTTGATTAACACAATTAAATTTTGGCATGATATATATAACTTCCATTATAACTTTCTTTATATTAATAATGGAATGTCTAATTTATAATGTGTTTTATATTCGAATTGTTTTATCAAATTAATTATGTTTCATATTTTGTTATAAATATTTTTATAAAGTTTTAATATGTTTTATTTTTCGCTATATCCAACAATATTTATTGTTATACTTTTTAAGTATTTCATTTTTTTTAAACTTTCTCTTTTATTTTATTTTTTTTCCCTCACTAAAAAAATTTTCTGAATCCGCCATTGAATCCATCCTTACTTCTTTGCCCCCCCTCAACATATTTTCTGGCTCCGTCCCTGTATATATATATATATATATATATATATATATATATATATATATATATATATATATATATATATATATATATATATTTGTATAAAACCGACGGTGTATCCTTGTTTATTATTATACTAGTATTTGCAGCCATGCGATGCACTGAATGTATTCGTTATAATATATGAATTATAATTTGCTTCATATTCGATAGTGTAGATTTTAACGTTGAACTAAGATTTGTATGAATGTTTCGGAATTGAATTAATTGGTCTCACTATCTTTATGTGTAGTAATTTAGCTATAGAAATTTTTGTAACGGAATATATACGTAATATGTAGATATGTAACAATTTTGTTATATTGGTGCAAGAAGAATACATAATATAACGGGTTTGAATTACAGATTGTTGAAAACCTCTTTGTAGACGACGTTAGTAGTAGTAACAGAAGTTTGTCCATCCTCATCTAGAGCTAAAACTTTAAGGCCATCAGGATGAGTGACTCCGGAAAAAGCCACGTACAATTGACCGTGATTAAAGATTGGTTTTTTCAACAATAAGCCAATGTGAGTTAGTGTTTGACCCTGACTTTTGTTGATAGTCATTGCGTATGCTAGCATCAACGGGAATTGTTTACGCTGGACTTGAACGGCAATCTCGTATCAGAAGGGGTGAGAGACATTCGTGGTATAAGAACTTTGGTTCCTTGCTGCGTTCCATTAACTATTCTTGCTTCGACAATATGATCCGCCAATCTTGTAACGATGAGGCGCGTACCGTTGCAAAGACCAAGAGAGTGGTCTATGTTTCGCAGTAACATACCAGGTGCACCAACCTTTATTGTCAATGAATGATTAGGAAGTCCAGACAATCTCAAGCTATTTAAAATTCTAGAGTGTGTACTTATGAGAGATTATCACCATCTGATTCTGCCTTACACAAAGAGTCACAACTTAAATATGACCGACCTTCTACAGTGTTCATGTCACACATATATTGATTAATTTGATCAGCAACATCTAAAGTTGGTGAGAGGATCGCTCGTCCTTCTTGGTGCGACTCTTCTAGCATTCCATACTTGCAATTGAAGATGCTTTCAACTATAGTTGCAATTGGATCAGGTCCACACTTCAACATAAACCTTGGTGGAATATCGATCTCAAATAAACCATTGTTTACAAACCTTGTAATCCCATCACCGATGTCTGCAATCCATCTTGAGAACCAATCAACCGTCTGTCTATCTTCGTTTGAAGCTAAGCTCTGTAGTCTCAGGTTCTTCGCGAGCCTCAATACCTTGCAATTCATCCAGAGGTATGAACAATTAATAGTGGCTCCCACAACCATTGGTCTCGTTGCTTTTGGAATAACTGGAAGAATCTATCTAAAATCACCGCTCAGTACTATTGTCTTTCCACCAAATGTTTTCTGATCACTACTAGCTATGGTGAATCTATATATATCCCTCATGGTTTTGTCTAAAGCCTCAAAACAGTATTTGTGTGTCATCGGTGCTTCATCCCATATTATCAATTTGCTCATGATTATAAGTTCGCAAAGGTCACTGCCTTGCGAGATATTGCAGGTGGAATCTTCATCAATTGAGAGTGGTATAGAAAATCGAGAATGCGACGTCCTGCCACCCGGCAATAGCAAAGATGTTATTCCATTTGAAGCAACATTTAGAATAATATCTTCGCGGCTCCTTATCTTTCAAGATAATGTTCTCCACACGAACGTCTTGCCTGTTCCTTCGTAACCATACATAAAAAAAATCCCCCTCCATTAGAATCAATATCGTTAATCACAGAGTCGTAAACAGCCTTCTGTTCGTCCGTCAATTGAGTTACCAATGTTTCATGCTCTGCCTTCAATGATTCCTTGTCGTACGCCAACTCTTCGGATATCAACATGTTTTCCATCAATCCAATGTTATTTTCTTCTGGAATCAGCATTTCTGGATAGTCGCTCAGGCTCTTCCCCCAGAAAGACAATAACTTCTCCAACTCGACCATAACAAATTGTTGTTTATTGTATTCCGATAACAACAAATCTTCACAGTTTAAAAACGAAACGAAAAAAGAATCAAAGAATGGGTTTCTGTATAAATCATGAAAGCAAATAATAATGTTCAATAAATAGATTGCATGTTGATGTACCTGGATTGTGCATGAGACGTCGACGATGAAACTGTGCATCCTCCGCAAGAAATTGCCAAACGGAATTCCACACCACCTCGGGTCTAGTGATTCAAATTGAAGAGAGCAACGTAGCAAACAACCTTCGCAATGCAGACGCGGATGCCAAGTAACTGGATTCAGTAATACTATCGATGTACTCCTTGTCATCATCTAATAATCCATATTCATAACACGCATCCCTAAATGATTTGTGAATGACCCCCCCCCCCCCCCCCCACAGTGTGAATATCCTAGTGGCTTGAAGGTCCACGTATGATATTTAAAAGGCATCTTAGATAGTATAATTCTCCACACCCTGTAGAAACATAGAGCAATCGTCCAATGGAGAATCCTTTCTTCCTTGGATGCCATTCACGCAAGTCTTGTCTCCAAACAAACTTACTGGGAAACTCTGCATAAGTGGGCGACCGAGCATCTTCGTATTTTTTGTTTGCCTCAAACCAAGCTGTGAACTGGCTCTACTTAACCGTTTTGTTCTCGACAATCTCGTCGAGGCTTTGATCTTCCCCATAGACAACGTTCTGTTGGTGCTTTAAGTCGAAATTTAACCTCTCCACAGGTGGCTTCACATGCTGATATATAGCGACAATCGTAGTACATGTTAATCTATCGACCACATCACCACTGACTGCATTCGTAGAATTACTCATGAACTCTGCCGTGACTCAATCATTTCCTTTATTGACATATTTGAATAAATATTTGATCGATCTTGACTGGTTTCACCATTCAACGTACGTTAATATGTGCGCGATATTTTAGAAGCAGATGTTTATTATGCGGGACAACGTAACGTTTATCAAGTTGGATTTCCTACTGATTGTGCATTCATTGTCACGCCTTCTGTAGATTGGGTAACCATCTTTATCCAGAATCGTCTGACTAACATATTTTTTGGGGAAATACTTTGAACATTTAGCATTTACCATGTTGGCGAATTCTTCCGGAGTTGTCTGCACGGTCCGTGTAACATAAAATCGCTAACTACGTCATTGTACTCATTGTCAGCATTTGGGTCTGGAATCTCAGCAGAAATCAAGGCATCAATTTCCGGTGCAGAATGTGCACGATTCATTCTTTTGGTAAATAGCAATATGTGCGCGTGAGGGAGTCCTCTTTTTTGAAATTCAATTGTGTAGATAACTGTGCAGAAAATTAAAATAAAAAAATTAATTTTATACATGGAATTTAGATTTAATTAGGGCACATTAAATTATGTATGATAATTAAATACCTCCACATATGTCGCCAAACAGCTGTTCTGTCTTGATCTCTTCAATCACAGCATCAAGTTTCATCTTAAACACGTGACAAACAACATCGGGTCTATCCTCTGCTTTAAGCCCATGTTGTGCAACATACCGCTCAATCTCAGGCCACATCGGGTTGCATGTGAATGTTATGAACAGATGAGGATAACTGATGTGCTTGTATATTGCCATTGCATCTTGATAGTTTTGAATCATATACCTAGCTCCGCATGTGAATGATGGTGGTAGTATAATTCTTTTACCCTAAGTTGTGGGATCTAATTCGCCCCTTGTTAATGTATCGCTCAACCCCTGATAAACTTCACAACGCAACGCCTTCTGATGAGTTCTAATGTAAATCAAACATGCATGTTCGATCATTGTATATGCATCAACCAAGTATTGTTGAAATAACCTCCTAGAATATAACAATATATGATTCTTATTTACCTTCTCATGTATATAGAATGAGAAATACTCTTTAGGGCTAATTCTTGTCTTACCACCATGATGTCCTTGGCGCCATGCATAAGAAAATGTAATATCTTCACGATAACCATCTTCGCCATATGGGAACAACAAAGGGTACTGTAGGGGCAAATATGCGGGGTTCAAATGGTTTATTCTCTTCAACTGTCCAGTCTGGCTCCCGATCAATATGTCTAGATCACCCATCGATGGGTCAAGGTCCTCGACAATAAGTGCAGCCACCTCATTAGCGGTAGGTAAATTGTATGTCCTTCCATCTTTATTCCGGCTGCCAATTAAATTCATTTTAACCTCAACAACTGAATTAAACTGAATTTCAGTTCTTGCCATTCTGAAACATTTTACCAAAACATTATTTCCGTCCAGCATGTTCTTTAATTCCTCAACAATATTTTCTTGGATATCCCTTGAGTTAACATCTCTTCTGCTTAGGAAACAAACATATATAAATAAACAATAGATGTCATTGTTGGTGTAAGCGAAACGAAAGGTATAACGTATTTGGATACTTACGTAACAGAATTGATGCGATTATTAATCTCATTATCTGTGTCGTAAATATATAACTCTGCAAACTTTGGCATGGAACCTTCTCCTGAAACCAAGCTTACAATCCAATGATAATTTTGACCACTTATCCTACAAATCGGAGGACCGTTACCGGTGTTGATTGACCTATTGGCTCTACCTCCAGAGACGTGAAGCAGAACATGTTGTTATATCTTTGAATATTGTTGAGGGAGTGTATACTCTGTTCATTATCGTCAACGTATAGGCTCTGAAGAACAAGAGGAGGATCCTTCATGCAAGGTAATTGTATCTTGCCCTCGTAGCAACACTTTGTGTATTTCAGCAACACTCGCGTAACATTTTGATTTGAGCACTCATGTCGCCAGAATAAGGCACCACAATAATTACAGGAATGAGCAGCATCTCCAAGGTCATCCAAATAGGAATCTAATTACATAAATAGTTAATAATTAACGAAGATGAACATAAAAGATTTGTGAATTCATAAAAATGAAAATTACTAAGATTTGTGAGTTTATAAAAAATTACCATATATGTTGTTTTCACATACGAAATGTTCGAAATCCGTATTTAAATTCCTTGCATTTGTTCTTGACGATATTGTACTAGAAGTTCTCCGAACTGATCGCAAAACACAATTAGATTGAGGATGTGCTGGTCTTTGCACTGGATAATGTTAAAAAGTTGTGGCAACAGAATAGCACTAACAAAGATGGACAAATCATGAACAGTGTAATAAAAATTCCCGTTTCATACATCAACTAGTGGTTGGCGTGATAAAGACGTTGAAGTTGACATATTTGACATATTAAAAGAACGTAGAGTGGACGGTGGAGACATGTTGCGCATATGAACTGCAAATTTTTTATCAAAACATATTTAACATGAGATTAATAGTATATGTATATTATGTTTTAATCCAAACATATATAACCTAAAACTGAACATATACGATAGACAAAGAAATAGACAGATATTTAATACAGGAAAATGTTACCATCTGTTGAGACAGTGAAGGGTGTGGCCGATTGAATATCATTGTTCAATGCGTATAAATTTGGGTTGGTAGCAACTGCAAATAGAGTTAACGAGTAAAAATCAAACAATGATTAATTAAATAAAATGATATTAAAAAACTGTTTAGCATTGGAGGATAAAATGATATTTTGAATATAACATATACCATTTGTGATCGAACTCAAAGGTGTTCCTCTGGTGGCCACATGATTATCTTCGACCAAACTCTGATGAACATTAACTATTGCAAAAAAAAAAAAAATACAGAGAAATATAAGTGTTTAAATCATTCTCATAAAATAGATTCAACTAAGACAGAAGTATGAATGTGTCTCTGAATTGTAATAATTTTGAAAATAATAATAACAAATAAATGCATGATAATTAATATGAACATGTTAATTGTAAGTAATCAATAATTTGTAAGGATAAAAAAAACAGAATATGTATTTATTAAAATGTAAAAGTTATTACGAATAATGTAAAAGTTAAAATTTAATACCATTGCTCGACATATTAATAGGGGTTCTTTGAGAGGAAATCATAAATGTAATATGAATTTCATAATAATATTTTCATAAGTAATTAGTCTATATTACACGGAATAAAAATTAATTTTTGGTTGTAAACATATTAGGTATGATTATTTAATTGCATGCTAATCATATACATGTATTAAAATCAATTTTAATTACATATTCAAATATAATTACCGTGTACATATGGTATATTCTTTCCATAAGATATTAAAATATAATTTTAATTATATATTAAAATATAATTTTTATTAGATATTAGAATATGGTAATTTCTTTCCATATTCTTTCCATACTGTCATATACTATTCCTCCGTAATATGATTCCCATAATAATATTTTCATAAGTAATTAGTTTATATTCATAAGTAATTAGTCTATATTACACAGAATAAAAATTAATTTTTGGTTGTATACATATTATTACGCTAATAAATAATACAATATACGGAATACATGCTAATTCAAAAAAGGTAAACATTATAACCTAATTCATTAATTTGTTCATATGCATATATTCTGTGTAATGTTAATTATTTTATTTTTTGATTATATATAGATATATAGATTCCTTACAATTATACGGATTACACGTTAATAATTTTCTAATATTACCATAATATGCTTTTCATAATTAATTAGTATATATTTATAATATTCTATGTAATATTACTTAAAATAATTATACCTAATATGTATGGTAACACGTAAATAAAATTATTTAATACCATATGTAATTAATGTACACGATTTTACAATATGAGAGTATGGAAAGAATACTGAAAAATATATCATAAACGGGTTCATACGCAGATTTTAGGTGTAGACCAATTATTTATGCCTTCTATAAAAAATATGTACAAATGTTATGATTATTTAATGGTGTAGCATAGATATATATATTATCATATTTAAAATTGATTTTATTCAATTGAGTAATTAGTTTGAATTACACGGATTAAAAATTAATTTTTAGTTATATATATATATATATATATATATATATATATATATATATATATATATATATATATATGATGTGGATAAAATAACCGTATACGGATACGGGTAGGTTACAATAGAGTTACAGACAGACCGGTCGTACGCGATGACCGGGATCCTCTCTAATCTTGTAAGTCTCCTAATCCAAAAGTCCCTCTCTCTAGCATTTAATGCAGTATTTATAAGGGTCCTGGGAAAAAGCATCCGGCCTTCCGGCATGTCGGACACGTGGTGAGCATGCACTGGGCTCTGGGGAGGCGAGCATGTAGCCGTACGCGTGGCAAGCATCTCCTGCCGTTGGCACGGCCCGTCCCGTCTCGGCCGTCTCGCCCGCTTACTGGCTAGACACTGGTGGGGCCTTAGATCGCTCCAAGACGAGAGGCGGACCGGGCAACCGGGCAGGGAACCGCATCTAGCTCGTCCGGGCGGGATGACCGGGCAGGACGGGCGGACCGTATTACCGGGGTATATTTCCTATCATATAGTCCCCCCAGCCCGGAGCCCGACGGTACCTGACGGAGGGGTGCGGGCTGACTCCTAGCTCCGCCGGTCTACGCCTTGATGGGTCACGTGGGGTAGGCTGAGGCTGGGACACGTGTAGGGCGCCGCCTGCCACGTGTCGGCTGTCCGCAGGTCTCGTGAACTGGGCCTGGCGTGTCTTCGACGCTTCCTCTTCCCGCCTTTTTCCACTCTTATAAAATGGGGCTTAGGGGCCCATTGTGAACTTTTCGCTTCCTCAACGAACTCCAGAGCCTCCCGGTTGTCTCAGCTTCTGCATCGAAGACTTCAAGCGGGCATCAGCTCAACTCTTTTTCAATCGGTAAGCTCCAGCTCCCTTTCTCTTAAATTAACGCGTAGTCACTCCCCCTTTAGGTGTAGGCTAAGACCTGAACCGGGCGCCCATACTGAAACGCCACCCCCTCATTTTCTCTTTAAGGGAAGATGTCCAGCTCGGACAGCCAGAACGTATCCGGTAGAGATTACGCGGCCGGTGACGAGTCCAATACGACTTCCGGCTCCTCCCGGGGGACCACCAGCACAGACGAATTCATCGACCGGTATACCGCGCCCAGTTCCGTCTCCTTCCGCGTTGACACCCGTCTCCCTCTCCTTCCCCTTCCGGGTATGGGAGCGAACGACCTGCAAATCCGGTTCCGATTCAACTAGCTGAGCCGACGTAACGCCGAGGGGGAGGGCGGTAGGAACCAATGAGTCCGCCGATGCAGAAGCGCCGGCGACGTTCTTCTTGCCTCCGAGCGCAATCTTCGGCCGGGGGCCAGTTGAGGGAGCCGCAGCGGCAATAAAAGCCTTGTCAAAACCCATACCTGCAAAAGAGAGCAAAGGTCAGACGGTCGGTCAAGTTGGGACCGGGCGAAAAAAGCGCTTTACGGGTTAAACGTGAAACCTCCGGGCGCGTCCGTAGGAGGAGGAGGCGGCCGGGCAATGGTAATCTGGATCCGTCGAGGCTCGTATTTCCCCGGGAGGTCATACCGAGGGGGTTCAAACCGGGCAGCCTCAAACGTCTCGGGAGTCTTATAGGTATGATAGTCGTAGAACTCGGAAGAAATCTTCACGGTGGCATCAGCGAGCTCGGGAGTTTCCTCTGGGGTAACCTGCTCTATGTAATGGCTGGCCCATTCCCGGGGAACCGGTAGGTCCCAGGTATACTTGACGGAAAAAAGCCTCTTCTTCCACCCGCGGTTATTATCCGGAAGGCGAAGTATCTTGCATCGGTGCCTGTGAGACGAGGCCTGCAGGAACCCAGAACCGTACCGGGGTGCTAACGGCCGAACGGAGTAAATGTAGTCGAACAGCTCCATTGTGCAATCGAGGCCGTGTCGGGCGCAGATTTGCGGGAAGCAGGCAATAATGCGGTGGGCGTTCGGCGTGACTTGCCCGGGAAGAACCCCGTAGTGCTCCAGGAACATGAGCAAGAAGGGGCTAAACGGGAAAGTCAGCGGGGCCCTCAGGGAGTCGAAATGGAGCCCAAGCCATTACCCCGTGGTCCGGTTGACGACATTCCCGAGGGCACGGTCCGTATTATAGGCGACCTTCCCGCCTATGAGGGAAGCAATCTCCTTCGCCTCGGCCCGACTGAGAATGCTTAGCTGCCGCCGGACGACCTCGTTGTTCAAGAAAATTAGCTTCCGCCCAGAAGCAGTGGCGACCGGGGCGGAGCAAGGCGCTGGAGCCGGGTCCGAAAGATTATCAGCAAGCCGGTCGCGCGAGGACGGGGATAGATCGGGACGCAGGGCCCCGACGATGGTCCGCGGAGACTTTCCCGAGCCCGTCGCGGTGCTAATAATCACCCGGGGGGATTTTCCTCGGTGTGACGATCCGGCTTTCGGCGGGCTCAGTATCTGAACGTCGCTGGATTCGTCCCCATCGCCGCCACGGTCGGAGCGCTCGGCGACCAAACCGCTCCACCCCTCGGATTCTTCTAAACGGTCCCGGTCAGAAACCGCACGTGGGGAACTGGGCGCGGTATACCGGTCGATGAATTCGTCTGTGCTGGTGGTCCCCCGGGAGGAGCCGGAAGCCGTATTGGACTCGTCACCGGCCGCGTAATCTCTACCGGATACGTTCTGGCTGTCCGAGCTGGACATCTTCCCTTAAAGAGAAAATGAGGGGGTGGCGTTTCAGTATGGGCGCCCGGTTCAGGTCTTAGCCTACACCTAAAGGGGGAGTGACTACGCGTTAATTTAAGAGAAAGGGAGCTGGAGCTTACCGATTGAAAAAGAGTTGAGTTGATGCCCGCTTGAAGTCTTCGATGCAGAAGCTGAGACAACCAGGAGGCTCTGGAGTTCGTTGAGGAAGCGAAAAGTTCACAATGGGCCCCTAAGCCCCATTTTATAAGAGTGGAAAAAGGCGGGAAGATGAAGCGTCGAAGACACGCCAGGCCCAGATCACGAGACCTGCGGACAGCCGACACGTGGCAGGCGGCGCCCTACACGTGTCCCAGCCTCAGCCTACCCCACGTGACCCTCAAGGCGTAGACCGGCGGAGCTAGGAGTCAGCCCGCACCCCTCCGTTAGGTACCGTCGGGCTCCGGGCTGGGGGGACTATATGATAGGGAATATACCCCGGTAATACGGTCCGCCCGTCCTGCCCGGTCATCCTGCCCGGACGAGCTAGATGCGGTTCCCTGCCCGGTTGCCCGGTCCGCCTCTCGTCTTGGAGCGATCTAAGGCCCCACCAGTGACTAGCCGGTAAGCGGGCGAGACGGCCGGGACGGGACGGGCCGTGCCAACGGCAGGAGATGCTTGCCACGCGTACGGCTGCATGCTCGCCTCCCCAGAGCCCAGTGCATGCTCACCACGTGTCCGACATGCCGGAAGACCGGATGCTTTTCCCCAGGACCCTTATAAATACTGCATTAAATTCTAGAGAGAGGGACTTTTGGATTAGGAGACTTACTAGATTAGAGAGGATCCCGGTCATCGCGTACAACCGGTCTGTCTGTAACTCTATTGTAACCTACCCGTATCCGTATACGGTTATTTTATCCACATCAATATATATATATATATATATATATATATATATATATATATATATATATATATATATATATATATATATATATATATATATATTATGCTAATAAATAATACTATATACGGAATACACGGAAATTTAAAAAAGATAAACATTATAACATAATTCATTTTTTATATAATTTGTCCATATGCATTATTTTGTGTAATATTAATTATTTTTTGATTATATATAGATTCCTTACAATTATATGGATTACACGTTAATAATTTCCTAATATTAACATAATATACTTTCCATAATTGATTTGTAAGTTGGATTTGAAATTTTGAATTTTTAAATCGGGTTACGTGTCATCTTTTATTGAATGGATTTTTCCTTTTCTAGTTCCTGTGTGTGATATGTATTTATTGCTTTTTTTTTTTTTTTTGGGTGAAATGAATGCTTTAATGAAATGAAAACTTTAACAAATTTGTAAAGATCTAATTTTTATTTTAAATTCGTGAATAATGACTAAGTTTCTTAAATGTAATTAAAAAGTTATTACATGTTAATCATTAATTGACCTTGACGTTTTCAAAGGTGTAATTAAAAAATTGTATCAAGTGATTTGAAGTTTGATATTATAAAAAATTGTATCAAGTGATTTGAATTTCGATATTATAAATTGCTAACATTAAATAGACTGTTTGGTTTGCTAGAAAATATTTGAAGAGTAATAGAATATAAATTTCATAGAAAATAAATTGTAGGAGTAAAAATAATAACAAATAACATAAAAAATGTAAATTGTTGACATATTCGTTGTTTTTCATGTTTAAGTAGAGTCCTCATTATTTGAATCCTCATTGTCCAAATTTCTAATCGGAGGGCCAAACACTTGTCCATCCAAAGAATCGGGAAAGTTAGGAAAAATTAAATACGTCAATAAAGTTATATAAAAAAAAACATCTACATCATGTACTACATACTCTATAGATTTTATGGTTTCAGAACCTATTGTTTCTAGAAGACAAACGACACGAAGCACTCTAAACCTGATGATATTCCACCGTAGTCCTATACGAAGTTGATTACCAACAATCTCGCCGTGAAGTTCAGGCGCCATTGAGAATCGGTTTAAAGAGGAGAGTACAAAGGCAGAAATACGTTATAAGCTGACAGCTTTAGCACAATGATGGGTTTAAATAGCAAATTTTTATGTTATTACCATATTTAATTTAATTGTTACACTAATACTTAATTTTCTATATGCACACGGAATGTCCATTACAATAAAAAGGACTACATGAATATATAAATTCTATAATTAATTAAATTTTAGTCAACTAGACTTCACACGGAATAAATTTTATAAACTAATTAATTAATTACCATAATATTCTTTCCATAACTAATTGGTCACACACGGAAAGTAATTATATATACACGAATATGAATATATAATTTCTATAATTAATTAAATTTTAGTCAACTAAACTTCACACGGAAGAAATTTTATAAACTAATTAATTAATTACCATAATATTCTTTCCATAACTAATTAGTAACACACGAAATATTTATGAATTATATATAGACTAATTATATATACACGAATATTACAGAAATGCCCCTATATTTTGGAGGGAAAATTTGACGAATTTTACTTTTAATTATATATATATATATATATATATATATATATATATATATATATATATATATATATAGATTTAGAG